TAGAATACACCATATATTTGAATATGCTCTTTCATATTCTAAAAAAAATATCCTGGTGTCAAATTTTTACATAAAATGCACCATATATTTGAACATGTTTTTTACATACTCTAAAAAAATAATCAAGGTATCAAATTTTACATGGAATGCACTTTAAATTCAAACATGCTTTTTGCATATTCTGGAAAAAAAAATCTTGGTGCCAAAATTTTACATGCAGTGCACCTTACATTTGAATACTTTCTCTGGATCATAATATAAGGTATCTTTTAAAAGCCTTACTTGATTCAAAATATTGGGCGTTGAGTAGCTTCTATAATTAATTTTTCAGCTATTTTTGAAAAAAATGTTGCATTAAAATTTTGATTGTCATTATCAAGGTACGTATATATGATATTTAATGAGGGTATAATTTAAAAGATGTAAATTGTTTAAAAAAACTTATATTTCAACTAATTTTTTATAAAAATTGTGAATTAATTATCAATACTCTATATTATAGTTCGAATGGAATATGCTTTTTGTATATTCTAAAAATTATATCATTTTTCATAAAAATATCAATAAATATTCTGAAAATGCATTTAGATATTCTAAAATTTTTCTTATTTTTTATGAAAACAGCAAATAATATTGGGCCATCAGGATCATGAGGCTGATGAATTTGCACTATATCCTTTGCATCTAGTAAATGCACGAGTCCTCTCTCAATTGAGGATACCTTTACAATGCAGCAAATACATGGAGGACCAAAGTTAACAATGATATTATTAACAGAACATAATGTTTGTGCATTCGAATAATAGAGAAGAAGGAATTTACTTACTTCAGGATCATGCTTGTTTACTAGTCGTCTCCTGCTCATTGACATCAAAAGATATATGGTTATGTAAACAATTGTATCGCCAAAAAACAATTATATTCCTAGATCTAGATCAAATTTTTCAGACACAGTGAAAAATGCCAACTATTCTAAATGCTAAAAACGCAAACCAAAAAGGCTGAAAGATACCAACTACTCTAAAAGCTGAAAACAACTTTCAAATGCTTACTCCTGCCCATTATGAAAAGCTGAAAACACTAACAGGATGTGTTGGATTCAAGGGCCAATGAAGGATGATGATGAAGCAAGGAAAGGAAAATAATAATAGCAGCAAAGTCAATGAAGGATATGATTGGAGAGGAAGGAGCGGCAATGATGAATGGAGTAGGGAGCAGCAATCTAATGGACATACTTTAGGCTTTAAGATTCAAAGTAAGCGGTGCATGATTGAGATAAAAATTAAAGAAAGGTAGATGAGAGTCTCCAGTTGCTGACAACCTTACCTTACTTACCGTTGTGTCTATTGTTGTTGGAATCACGATGAGCTAGTCAACATCGTGACAAGAAATCCCATAGGACAAGAGTTGGAGGGGAGAGGGAGGGATATAATTTGGCGAGGATAAAATAATCATTTAACTATTCAAACATTTTATTCTTTTAGTCATTTCATTTAATATCACTTAGTTATTTCTCAAATTTTCGGGCCTTATGGGCTGTAAAATTCTGATAAGATCTTTTAGAAAAAATTTTCCTTGATTCATGTTTTTAGATGGTGGGTTCATTGCTTCCTTCTTTTGCTCAATTCTTTCCAATTTAATTTTTTTTTTCCATAAATTTCCTTCCATACTTTTCCTAAATTTCATAATTCAAAATGGGTCATTGGCTCGTCAACTCTCTCCGTCTCTCTCCTCTTCTCACTTTTGCTTTCCCAACTCTCACTCTCCTCCCAAGACTATATAGAGTGTAAACCATGCTTTCAAGTCTCCTCCCTCACTTTTGCATTTGTATTAGATGCTCATCATTCTGTAGAGCACTGAATGATCATTAGGTCAGGAGCAATTTTAATCTTTCATTTTAGTTGAAAATGATCTCTGTCATTCATTTAAATTAATTTTTAAATATTTTTAATATTATATTTATAAAAATAAAAAATATAAAAAATTTTAATATTAAACATGCACTATTTAGAGTACATTTAAATGGTTAATTTATAAAATTTATAATTTTTTTAATTTTAAATTAGGTCATTTAGATTATACTTGAACTGTTTAGAGTCTATTTGGATAGTCAAATTGAATAATTATAAAATTTTTTAATATTAAATTGAACTATTAAATTAAATTTATATTGGCTAATGAACAGATTTATTAAAATTTTAAATTTTTTCATAGTTTTTATATTAATAAATGTAATATTAAAAATATTTAAAAATTAATTTAAATGAACGGTAAGAATTAATTTAGACTGAAACGAAGGATCAGGGTTGGTCACGCCATGCACCGAATGTAGATCGCTCACTTTTGCTTTCCTAACTCTTATTCTACTTCCAATACTATAGACCACGCTCTCTAGTCTCCTCCCTCGAACTTCTACTCTTCCTCTACTCTTTCCTCTGTTACTCCCAATCAAATCTGCAAAGTTAAAATCTCAATTTCAAATCATAAGAAGTTCCAAAACCTCAACGCTCCTCCATTACCAATTTACCATCGGCTATCAAGAAGAGGGAGCTAATATTGCTGTCTCAATCGTTTAGCATAGATTAACAGTCATAGGGGAAGTGGTGTGACATGGTGAAAATTCTCAATGGCTTTGATTGCAGTTGCTCTACACCACCACTTGCTATACTTGAAATCTAAGACCAACACTTCAACGGTTCAACCACACCGTACAGACCCACTCTTTTAAGCTTGGAAAAGAAGGCTCTCTATTTACTCTTTCCTATTCGTCATGTCTTCTACTTCACAGACCCTAGAAGTTAACAATGAAAGTCAATATCAAACTCTGACACTTCTCTAATGATGTGTTTTGACCTGGAGAGGAGGATTGAGGAGAGAAGGGACCTCCCTCCCATTATATTTTACCAAAAAACATAGTGTAAACTGTAAAGGACGAGTGTCTTTTCTAATTCAATCGCTCTTTTATATTCTATAAAATTTTACCACATGGTTGTTTTTTAAAAAGGGATTCCTCACTATACGGGTAGAACAAAGACAACAAAGAACTCTAATCACTTTTTTCTCATGCCCTTTTGATGTTACACTGTATCCCGATGATGGGACTTGGATCCAATGGATGTTGACAACACTTTTTACATGGAGAGTTGGAAGAGGAAGTTTACATGAAAATTCAACATAGACCCCAAGCTCAAGGCAACATTGGCTTTGCAACCTACAAAAGCCCTGCATAGACATAAAACTTCTCAAGGCATTCTCCTGAGTCCTGAATCAGCGCAAGTATCTAACCTGGATGATTGAGGATTGCAGTCATAAACCTATTTTTCAGCAACATGCATTGTTGGTAAAATTCTCAGTCATGCTACAGATTAGTGAAGACTTGTTAGGTATCTCATTTATCTCATAGGCACTTGTCCTGACATTGCCAATTAAGGCAAGAGCACCGAGAGCCATGTTTGCAAACGGCTAAAAGACTTTGGTTATTACGTTAAACAAGCACTAATTCAAGGAGTGTTCCATCAGTCATAACTTAGATGTTTTGGCTTGTTGTGATGGGTCAAATGTACTAAATGAAGATCTTTTGTACGGAAAGTGACAGTTATAGGTTCATCACTCCATCTCCTGTCAGATGGAAATCTGAAAAGAAATCGACAATGAAATCATTATCTAAAGAAGAGGAATATTGAGCAATGGCATTTATCTTGACAAGAAACATCCGATGATGAACGTGTTGCACATTTCTCAGCTTATTATACTGTATTCTGATAGCAAGTCAACCATTCAAGTAGCTGCAAATCCTACTTTTCATGAACCGAGAAATCACAACAAACGTGACTGACACTTCATCGAGGAATATGTCACCAAACAAGTTATCACTCTTTAATTTGTCCCATTTCAGAGAGTTATAAGCAGATGTGTCCCAAGTCAAGACAATTTTGCCCATTCATTTCAAAAACAAAATCCAAGAGCAAGACTTAATTCCACTATTTTCAGTGTTTCCCCTCAACTATGATTAGCGGAATATATATAAAGAACAAACTCCAAAGAAAAAGCTTGGCAAGTAGAAAGCTGAAAGAAGATATACCAAACTGAAGATAGACTCGGCATCCATGAAATTACTTTTCAAGTCCATAGCAGAAATCTGAGAAAATAGACAAAATGGCAATACAAATATAGAAAACAAATCCAAATAGAAAAGCAGTGAGGCATTAGCAAATAGTCCGGTACACCGTAATTAGATATAGTTAATATCAACTATATCTGATTTATGATCCCGCGAGTGAAGCTAATATCAACTACATTAATCTTTCGACTACGATAGAAGACAAAAACCTGCAGAGAAATCGCCTGTCCTGCTACTTCTCTACGGTCTGGCTGAGCACATCATATCATACCATCCTTATTAAAGAGAATATATTATGATCCACTGCGGAACTCAATGCTGTAGTGTTAAGAAAGCAAGCCGAAATTCATAGAACTTGATGGGACCGAATTTCCGTCTTGCCGCTTCTTAGATTAAAAAAACAAAACCAAAAAAAACAAAACATCAACAATGATAACGTAACTTTGTTCTCGGATTAGTCACTTTCAAATTTTAGTTTTAAAATTGTAAATATCAACAAAAACCATGAACCAGAGCATCACCGAGCAAAATAGGATCAAACTACACGACTTGTGAAACAGGAATTATCTAGCAGTAAGAAAATTGTTCAGAATGGCGTCAACGGGAGTCTTCGATCACATATATCTATTGCCTACACGTCTACAGTGCAAAGAGTGGCTGATCTGAGAAATTTTCCGACAGTTATCAAAGGGAACCGCTTTTAAAAAACGGTTTTTTTTTTTTTTTCCTTTCTTTCTTTTTTCTTCGATTCACCAGCAACCAACTCAATGAAGGCCCACGATATGGCCCAACTTAACCCAGACAAGATAATCATGAAGGGGCTAGACTAGGTCAATTCACAAGCCCAACGCCGCGAATATAAATTGCGTGGCAAACATGCCCTAACAAGGGGAAAAGACTGGGAAATGGAGTCGGCCGCGGCTTCGCTGGGGGGATTCTTGTGAAAAATGGAAGAACAAGATAATGACGAAGAAGATTTAGCCTCATTCAGTTTCCTCTTAAACGATGAGGATAATGAAGAGAAAGTGCTCATAAATGGCCAGCACGCAGAACACAAAGCAAACGAAGGGATGACTATCGCGCAGAACGGTGTCGCGAAGCAGCAACTACTGCAGAAGCATTCCCTCCGTTCGATTAACTCAACGGTCGTGATTCGGCAGCTCCCATCCGAAGGTCTCTCGTTCCAGCTCTGGCCGGCAGCCACTACTTTGGTTTCCCTTCTGGATGGATACCGATGCGACTCTGGTAATAGCCCTCTCACTTCCACCCTCTCGGTATTTTCGGCGGGTGCAAATCGCCGCCCACTAAATATCCTTGAGCTCGGCTCCGGCACCGGCATTGTTGGAATTGTCGCTGCCATCACTCTTGGCGCCAATGTGACGGCCACAGACCTTCCTCACGTTATCCCCAACATTCAATTCAACGCCAACGTGAACGCGGGCGTTTTGGCTTCCAATGGTGGGGCCGTGAACGTGGCGCCACTAAGGTGGGGTCACGCTGATGACGTGGAACTAATCGAGCGGGATTTCGATCTTATTCTGGCATCAGACGTAGTTTATCACGACCACCTGTATGAGCCTCTTCTCCAAACACTGAGTTTGCTACTATTGGGCAATCAGCTGAAGAAGATGATGTTCGTGATGGCCCATTTGAGGAGGTGGAAGAAGGAATCGGTCTTCTTCAAGAAGGCAAGGAAGCTTTTTAATGTTGACGTTTTACACCTGGATAACCCTTGCAGGGGATCCAGGGTTGGAGTCACTGTTTATCGTTTTGTTGGGAAGGGTTAGCTTTTGAAATGCTGCAACATCCTGCTCTCATTTTGGAACCTTTATTACCAAAGAAATCTTGTTTTTGAACTTTTTTTTTTCCCTTCCAGAAAATGTAAAATACAAATGTGCCTCTAAAACATTCAATTCAAATTGACGCAGCGCTTGTCATCTGTAATAATGCATCCGAATGGGCTCATTTTAGGTCCTTTTACAAGGTCCCTTCTTTTCTGATTTTCTCGCATCCGGTTCTGCAGAAAACAACTTAAAACCTACGAAACTTTCTGGACGCAGCATTGCACAAGTAACGGTTTTGCACTTTGTTCTCTTCTTTCTTTTTCGTATTTTTTTATGGACAACAACAACGGTTTTTTTGTCATGCTCCCTCCCCTTGTTTGGCAAAAGGGACCTCCCCTCTCCTCCAACCAAACAGGGAGTTAGTGTGGGGTTAGTGTTGCTTCTTGAGCAAAACCCGCTTGATATTGGAGACAAAAGTGCGGAGATTACACTTGGATTAGTCCGTCTGATCAAGATGGTGCTTATTTTGTTTTTTGTATGAAATATAAAAGCTTTGAAGGTGCACTTCTCTATGGGATCCGAAGGATGATGGATCGTGAAGGAGAGGAAGCCTTCAATGGAAGCTTTTGCCATAACCTGAGGAAAGCTGCTTGTTGTGAAATTCATAGATTTAGTTGTGGAAACCGCGGTACTCGAATTTAGAGCCTTTAGAAAGTTAAAAATTGACTCCGCAGGTGTGACGAGATGAGAACCGTGGGATCCAAAAGATAAAACGAAGTTTCATGTTTCCGGCCTTGCCCTTCAAGAGGCGGGATACGATTCCCTTTCTGTTTGCAAGTGACGACTTGAGTTAGAACAGATTTAAGACAGAAAGAAAAGAAAGAGGGGGGGTGTTTGACACTCACTCTTACAGTAAAAATAAAAAAAATAAACCGTTATTGTGTGGTATAACTCTTCCCACATATTAACCGGAAAGTAGCATAAAGGAGGGGCAAACTCTGCTAACTTTAAATGCTTCAAAATAAATAAATATTGTACATACAACAACCTGAGCCAACATTTACGTCACAAAAGAAAATGAATGAAAGAAAACGCGTCACGCCTTCAACATATCAAACCGCACAATTCAAAGCAAGTGCAAACGAGTACATGCTGATCTCAAGAAAACAAAGTACGCCATTGATTGTAATTCTCCAACCAGCAGGTACTAAGCATAACGACAAGTTCAAAAAAGCAACTAGACCACCGCTTGATATGACTAGACCCTTCAGTACCCATTTCTATATCCGCTTCCTCAGTGATGATCCTTTGGCCACAGCTCTCATGCTCTGAGAATCTCTGAAACAGACAAAGTGCACTAGAGTTTTTCCATTGGGGTAAACTGCAAATACACTAGTCCCTATCTTCTTATGGCAAAGTGAACACATGCTGTCACCGGTTATCTTCACAGTTGCTTTCCTCTGATTATAGAGTTCATCTTTCACCTGTGCAGAGCAAGTTGAACAAAGATGAAAAGACAGAACTATCTAAGAAAACAGAAGCATCTGAATATGCAAGATCATGTGGCTCTGGCGCACTCTCAGAAACAGATCAAGAAAATCAGAAAGAGATAACACAAAAATGGAGCCACTAACACGTCTGTGTGTGTGCTGGATGCGTTACAAGTTTCAATTATATCCCTCAACAATACCAATTTCACCTAATATTATATTACATAAATGGAACTTTGTATCTTCACGGATGCATACCTGAAGGTTCTCGCTTTGTCTCAAGCTCTTGATCACCGAGTAATTACGGTACATTTCACTAGATTTTCGCATAAGAGGTCCCAGAAATGGACGCAAGTTCTGCAGGCAACAGATATGGTTACATAACTTTATGAAACTGAAGCAATCCAATCATGTTAGACAAGAAGGTATTTTCTCTTGACACACAGGAAAAAAACAACGAATGGAAACATGCGATGGGTGGTCCAGCTGTGGAAGAGCAAAAATAACCAGGCAGACATGATAGTTTCATTCATAGATTTGATGAATGGTCATGACTAAGAAGTGGAGGGAAAAGGATGATAAAAAAAAAATGGAGACCCCTCTCCCGTTTTGTTAGCTTCCCTTTGGTGTTCTCACTCAACAAGCCAAATCTACCCTGGTTATGCACCAAAACCAACTTGCATGAAATATTTAGTCTATGACTGCCTCTCCCCAAATCCCCGAAAATGAAAAAAGGACCGTTTGAAATTTAACTACTCAATAACATAAAATTAATACCTGTAGTTTAGTTTCTCTTGGTAGAAGTTTGAGGGCCTGAGCTCCATTTATTCTATCCCATCTGCGGCTCAACAAATCAAGGACTTCATCAAGCATGATGGCACTGCCACCTTCCTCACTAATTTCATCCGGATCACCATCGCTCCGGCTACTATCAGTGCTGCTCAAACTAACTTTTGTGTCCTCAGCACCTTCTATTGCCGCAATCTTTTTATTTCCTCGGCCTGCTTTAGATTTTACTGATGTCATAGGGCCAACCTTTGGAATGCTTGTATTCTGGAGAGATAATAGATTCATGATTCTCTTTTCAAAACTGTTGGTTGTCCTTTGTGGATTTAAATAGATTTTCAGAAGAGATAGGTATATGTTGCTGGGAGATTTTCCTGAAGGGTGATTTGTTGAATCATATACTCGATCACAATAAGATAATGCTGATTCTGGAACATGAAGCTACAAATGAAGAGATAGTTAGTTATTTCCATAATATTCGAAAGTAAATGAAATATATCACCAGTACTTGCACACAAATGAAAGAACCAAAATGCATTATGATTATTTATCAGAAATAACTACCACACTGAACTACCCACGCACAGAGGACTATACACATTGATACCTTATGTACATATAAAGACAGTGCCAATTCATGTTGGTTCATTTTTCCCAACAATATAGCACGCTCCTCATACAGAGCATCTGGTGGAAGACGTTTCAATAGAGCTTCTGGATTGTATCCTGATATACTCTCTAAAGCAGACAATAATTTCTTCCTTGTTGGGGAGAAAGCTTTCTCATCCCATTTCTGTTGAGCACTTAAATCATCATGCCACTCAAGTACTTCAGAAAGATAGATTTGCACCTACATTGCAAAATAAGCTGAGTAAATACTTCTTTTAGACAAAAAATGATGTTATGCATGCTGACCATTAAGCAATCAGTCGTGTATCACCAGCACCAAGTTGTTACAGGTTTTTATGAGCAAATTTTATAGACCTCACCCCTCCTCAATCAAAAGAGTTGGCACTGTAGTAAAACAATAGAAGAAGATGCAAGGAAATGGTGGTCTCATTCATTGAGACGGCAACAAGTCCTAACCATTTCATTTTGCAAATTTCCAGAGACAGCACTCTCATTCATTGCAAGCATGAGTTCCAAGTAGGTAGTCTGCATATTTGGAGAATGTTGCTTCAAATAGGAGTTCACCATATCTGCAGGTATATTTCCAGAGAGAAAGAGCTCTATAGTCTGTGTCGGACAGCTTTCAAGAACAAGCATTGAGTACTCCAGGACAAGCATGGGGTCTGAACTACACAGAGGCTGCATCAGAAATCCACCAAATAACAACAGCAGAGTACTTCATTTTCATGACAAATATATATCCAAATTAAAAACTATATTTTAAAAGGATTTGGAGTTGAATACAAACTGTACACATTAGGTGACAAGTCTTTCTAGTTAATCTCCCAAGTAACTGCAGAAACAATGTTATCCAACAAAACTAGATGCTATTGGAGGAAGATATCTGAATTAGCCATGCAATAGTGAAGAAGAGAGATTTCAATCATCACAATCTTAATAAAATGACAAAACTATGAAATAAATTTATCTTTCAAGTAAACAAAATCACCTTGAGATATTCAATAATTGCCTCAGGCTTTAACTTGTGCGTAACTTCAGATGGGTTTGACTTTGACTCTTCTATCAACTGATGAAGAAGTTCAAGAGCTTCTCGATGCATTGAATTGCACTTGTAAAGTTCTAATAAAGCAACATTACTGTTTCCTTTTTGAAGTACCTCTTCACATATCTTCAAATCACAATAGTTTGGAACTCTCAGTAGTTCTAAAGCAGAGGAAGATTGTCCGGTAAGAAGTAATGCTTGGAGTAGTGCAGTATCCAACAATGAAGCCATTTCCCGAGCCCCTGAACTAACAGGAACACTACCACGCCCCTGAAACCAATAATTTATTATGTCATATGATTTCAATACCAACTATACCAATAAAATATTGTTGGACCACATGATCATTATTTAATAGATGATTCAGGATACTAGATGCCTCAAAGCTTCACCACAAATCCAGAAGAAATTCCTTAATGAAAATCTGATCAGTTTAATATGTATATTTTTTTACACCAACAGAACAAAAAAAGGGCAGATTCCTTTACCTTGTTTGTTTTCTTAAACCTACGACTGTTATAGGATACTAGGTTGTCCCCAACTGCATCTAAAACAACCTCCTCCGTCCCCTCAGAAGTGGCCTTCTCAATAACACTATATCTCTTCTTCTGCAAAAACTTTATGAGAGCCATAAGCATATTATGATTCATCTTTTTGGTTTCAAGCGCTGCATCGGATTCTGATAAAGGTGGTGGTGGTGGGGTTTCCATATCATCTGAAAGGCCTGAAGAACCCCTAGAGAGATATGAAGCATCCAAGCAAATGCCTGCCAACTTGTCAGGCTCAGTAACAATGGTTGTCTTGGGAAGGATAATGGATGGATACAGAGAAAGAACATAAGTTATATCCACTTGAGATGCAAGAAAATGTTCCATTGCCTCCTCATAGCTCCCATTTTCAAAAAGATAGTGAGCATATCTGTAACATGGGGATAAAAGCACATTAACAGCATATTTGCAATAATTGTATAAGCAGCAATTATTGATACACAAAAGACTTACAGACTTTGTAACCTGTACTAGATATAAATACGAAAAAAGAAGAAACTCACACCAAACAAAGTTGTCCTTATCAATAATTTAGGTATCATTAGCTAATTTTAGAAAATCACCGATAAGCATAATACCAGGATGTGTGTGCTTGGCTCAATTGAGAAAATGATCAATTAATTAGTATTTCATACACACTAAAAAACCTATATGAAACAAGTTGAAATCCCCTAACAAAAATCTCAAACAACACTGTTTCAACACAATATAACTATTTAACATATATAATTATTATGACCTGAAAAATGTGGTATTAATTCTTATTTTATTTTATTTTGCATTTACTATTAAATTCAATTATAAGTTATAACTTATGTGATATACTCCCTCTGTTAAAAAGTGCAAGGCATTTTTAATCGGATCTCACGCCCCAACAAAGTAGTCACTTGTCTTCAAACTAACCCTATCTTTTCATATTTACACCTATTTAATAGGGTATTTCGCTCTAAAATAAATATAAAGTGATTTATTTAATAAGAGCGCTTTTAAAAAAAAAGTAATAATTATACCTTGAAAGACTCAAAATGTCTTGCATTTTTAAACATCCAACAAATTAAAAAATGCTTTATATTTTTTACTGGAGGGAGTAGGTAGACATTAATTTCTTTTTTCATCCTCTTAACAATTTTATTTTCTTAAACATTATAAATAATAATCAAAATTATTATAAGTAAAACAATAGTTCAAATTGTTTCCTTCAAAATATAGAAAACTTAGCATCCATTGCATAAGCCACATTCTAGATGACATATCACAATCCAGATTATACATTAAACTTTTCTTCTATCATTTCAAGTCCTTGGATTCTTATCTACAGAGAGTATCCCAACTTAACTAGATTATGAGTAAGCAAAAGGAACATCACTGCACTAGTGGAATAAATATATCAAATATCAGGCCTTTTCCTTTGATTTAAGATAGTCATTATCATTATGATAGCAAGCCAAATCAATGTTAGTTCAATTCTCATATAGAATGTCCTATTCTGTTTCTACTCTAAGAACAACAAAATCTTTCAAATTCAAGAGACAAGATTCAGCAGTTAATATGCAAGACTTAAGGCATAAATACAAACTTGTAATTAAAAAAAAAAAAAAGTTCTTAATGCAAGAGAGTTGGTTCTGCTACAAACATCAGTGCCTTGCCTTGTTTATTTCTTTAACAGGAAGTACCTACTACTGGCAAATCACCTTATATGGATTGAACCCTCCTTTGCAGCACGGAGATTTGAATCTTCAGGTGCAAGGAGTTTGCACAATGACAGAGCTTCTTCAAAGTCGCCAGATGCTGTTAATTGGACAATCTACAACAGACAAGTAAAATACTTAAGTCTTGGTATAACACACAAGTAAGGAGATCAATTGACAAGAATTAAATGTAATAATCAAAGGATGTCTGTGCTATAATCAAATCAATCCGCTAGCACAAAGGAATGATAACTAACTGTAATTAAACAAGTAAAAAGTGATTCACTTCTTCCTCATTTGCACTAGAATCCAAAAATAGGAAGCACAAGCATCTGCATCATATAGCATTATTTACCACACCTGGGCTCCAAGAGGAACAGGGAAGAGTCCGTGAACAGAATTATCTAATGCAAGCATCACTGAATTATTGCTTTGGCGAATATGACGAACATTTCGAATAACAACAGTCTGGATCAGTGGATATGGATCTCGAAGGGATCGAACCTGCAAAATGCAAGTGCTTTAAAGCACATGAATGCACATCTTCCACGGTAAAAGAAATCCAGGAATCATTTTCTTTCTAAGCAAAATGCATATAGTGAAACATCAAATGCTTAGTCACCTCTACAAATCTTGGCAGCAGAGCTATTCCATATGGTTTCCAGATTACAACTTCTGCGGGAGCCTCTGACCAACAAATCCTGCCTTCTGGAAGAAGTTTCCCATTTTGGTCCACAAAGACTCCAATGTTCTCCTAAAAATGCATCAATAGATATCAGCTCCTCTGACTCAAGAATATGAACTATATGTAGTAACAAGAATTGAAATGTTGACCTCAGCATAAACATAAAATCATCTTGATCCATTCATATTGGTAATGCACATTCAAACGTATGAAGCAGACATCCATCCACATTCAGGATTTCCACCAGAAGAGTGACCAGTATGAAATGCCAAGACTACAGCTAATGAAGATGAGAATACCTTTCCAAGAAGAAGTTCCCCCGAAGATAGAGAGACCACTAAAGGCGGCGCTAGTCTACCAGAAGTAAATACCTCAGACAACGCACCATTTGTAGCATTCAGTATGACATATTCTCTTCTAATTCCCAGACATATATTTTCACCACACCAAGACATCGACTTCACCACATCTGGAACACCAAATTCTTTCACATCCACAAAACCTCTACCACCTGAAGAACAACAAGGAAAACATATACAGGCCTAATTTGTTCCCCAAGAAGTTTTCAGCAATGCCAAAAAGAGAGCTGCAATGTTTCAACTATCTTGCAATTGCGTATCAATTCCTCAGTTATTAGAGAAGATGAGCAATAGATGGTGCATGGTCAAACATGTCCCATCGTGGTCATCGTTTAGTAAAGAAAAAAGATAGAGAAACATTGTGGAATAAAAGGAATTACCATCGTGTCTGAAAATACAGACCCTCTTTTGCCTCGCGAAGCATAAGAAACCTCTTCGGTCATCCCAGGAGAACACATTGGCGCCCTTAGCCTTGGTGATGACTGCTATGGTTTCAAAATTAGGAAGACGGTGAAAAGCAATAGATTCGGAAAGTGAAAGAAGCAGTTCCCTGGATTCCAAGACCTCCATTGATAAGATAGGCTTCTTCGCAAAGCCAGTCAAGTTTCTTTCGAGCACGTAGGCTTCCTTCCGCAGCTCCTGAGCGTGTTGATCGGCCGACGGAGACCGATCGGAATCGGACGATTCTGGCGCGTATATTCGGAGGGAGCCATCAGAGCAGCCCAGAAGGAGCTTAGAGCCGTAAGATTCGACAGCTTCGATCTTCGAAGGACAATTATCGAGGAGTTGGAAAGAATCGTAGGCATTGTGCACCATTCCGTCGTCACGTTCTTCCTTCTGATCGAGGAGCACGCAGCAAAAGCTTTGATGGAAACGACAGTGATTACATCCGACGCCGTTTACTGCGTCAACCGGTCGTTTTAGCTCCCCGCTTTATTATCTGCTGAGGAGGGCTAGGGAGGCGGACAAGGACACCTGGCAAAGTATGAACAGCAACAGCACGGCTGGAAAGGGGAAAGTGGCAATTATCAGCCATTCCCTGCAAATGAGTAAAAATTTGTGCATTCAACTTCGCGCATTTTATTTTTTTTTAATCAAATTAAAATAATTAAAACAAGTGTAGAGTAGTTATTATTTTTCACTCACTTAATTAAAATATAAATTAAATAAAATAAATGTAATATGTATAAATAAATGCTAAACTTGGACAAGGACATTTTGTCAGATTCATTTACATAAAATACACGCTCGAGGCTTTTGGTGAAGCGAAAATAACTTAGATATATCAGTGAATGGAAAATTTTGACCATTGATTTATTATCTTAATTTGTTGGACGCAAAAATTCCAATGTTTAACAATGAAGTGATGAACATCACCATCTTCCATGTAGGTAAACACCGCCAATAAGATGATGACATGGTATATTTTGGTTGAAGGGAAGATTCTAATTCTAATTACTCGAATAACACATAGAAGCCAGAATCTTAGTTGTTGACGCTTTTAATTTTTAATAGATGAATTTTTTTATACAATAATAGCTCTGTTTTTTTATATCTATTTACCTTTACTATAGAGCATTTTTTTGAAAAAAATGTTGAGTGCATGAAGTGCTTGGAGGGAGTGATGAGTTTGTACCGCTGTCTTTGAGACTTGGATTTGCCAGACGGTCGGATTAGTTCAACTGTCGTTAGGCCAAAAAAGTGGTCTCCTTCAATCAGTAACCTGTTTTAACAATTGAACTGGTTCAGCCGTTTTGGGGTGGACAGTTTTGGTAGACCCAAGAAAATACCAGAACCCAGAACAGGATTTTGTGTGTCACGGTGGGTCTTTTAAGGGGGTAAATTTGGCATTCAAAAAATTGTAAACCCTTGACTTTCATCTTCATTCAGACGGCAATCGACGTCAGACACTCTCCCGCGCCATCGGCCTTCCACATTCCGTCTTCGTCTTCTTCATAGGTGATCGGTGGCACAGTAGCAAACCAGGAGCGGGAGCTCAAACTCGTCTTCGTCTTCTTCACTCCCCTTAGCAGCGTTGTTCTTCGTCTTTGTCCTTTCCAGTTCTTCACCCTTAGCACAGCAGCGAGTTGTAAGGACCATTTTACATCAATGAAGAATTGTCACCAAACCAGAGAGGCAGAGGAGAGGATGACGAACTAGAGAAACAAATGGAGAGAGTGGAGGAGACGATAGTGCGAGCAAATCTGGAAGTGAATTCTAGACATGAATCTCCGTGATGGTTGGTCAATATATTGAAGCTGTGAAGGGAAAAATGGTTTTCGAATACTGTAGGCATGTGAATGCTTGAATTGGAGACCAGACCACTTGACCAAGATTAAATGAGAAAATTATATCTACCTCTCAGGTGAGGAAATTTATTATTAAAATTTTAAATTTTAAATTTAATTTAATTAAAAATATTAAAAGTTAGGCAACAATTATTTATAAATTATAAAAAATAATAATTGTTGCTCAATTATCAATACTATTAATTATTTTATAATTTAAAATTTAAAAATATTTTATAAATTTTATTAAAATTTTTAATAATAAATTTTTTAATTTTAAATTTAAATATAATTAAAATTTTTTTATATGAAACCTAAATATAATTAAATTAAAGAGGCGGTGGTAACAATTTAATTATTAATATATTGTGATTTTTTTTGTCAAATTAACATTTTGTTTTTTATATATATAAATCTTATTTTATCTAATTATTCAGTTGGACCGAACCGATTGAATTATCAAAACGTATGACCTGTTAATATTTCCGGTTCATTCTTCTATCCGCGGTTTTAAAACATTGGTCTGTACGGAAAGCTCCGGAAGCGGAAGACAGAGTGGAGCTGCTTGAGAGAAAGGAAAGAGTGGCAGGATGACTCTTGGTCTGATCAATGCGAACCCCGTCGTTCATGCGAAAAAGGAGAGAGTAGCTCGCACCGAAGATCCCCTCGCAGATGATGCCGTTGACCCCCTCGAAATTTATGATATCCTCCGTTTATTTTTTCCCTTATTCTTCTTCTTTTTTTCTTAAAGTCTCTTCTTTTCCCCTTTCTTTTCTAGTTTAGATTTACTATTTCTATACACCTGGTGCGTGGGAAATTCGTTGATCGAGCTTCTGGAAATTGAAACTGAGCTTAGAAAAATTGTATTTGACGTGCTATATTCCGTCTTAGTGACATAAGCGAGCACAGTGGTACTTTTGGCTCTGCATTTGTTATTTCTGATGTGCTGGCTGCGATCCTTGACTTTGAATCTGCAAATTTCGTGAGAGATATCAGGGATCCGGAACACCCTTATTCCTTAGAACAACTCAGCGTCCTTTCTGAGGAATCAATCACAGTTGATGACAAATTGGGCCGGATTCTGTGAGTAAACCCCCCTTTTTCTTGTCAAATATTATTTCTCACAGTCTCGTCTAATTCAACATGGAGTCATCTCTGAGCAAATACAATAGCTTGCTGCCTTTTTGGATGCCGTTGAGCTCCATTTGTTTGAGTTTCTTTTGGTTCTTGCTTAATTTCTGTATTTCTGATTAGGATAACTTTTACACCGACTATCCAGCACTGCAGCATGGCAACAGTAATTGGTCTTTGTCTGAGAGTTAAGCTAAAGCACTTTTTCCCTCCTCATTACAAGGTTGGTTCTTGACTCCTCTCTAGATAACCCCTAAATAATGTATAATTCATCGATGGCTTTGCCTTCTATTGTTTAGGAAGCTATGCTGCTTTCGTTTCATGTAAAAAGCAAGGTGAACAAATAATCATGTGTCCTTTGTTTCACTGTTTATAAACTGTTCTAAAGTTGTTTGCACACTGCTATTCCGGAATGGATACTCCCAGCAACTTCAAATGGTCTTACCCTTTAGTGACCCATTTTCATATTCATGGGGTCATATATTCTTTGTTAGAAGGTAACGGCATTCCCTCGGTACCATCTTGAAAGGAAAGGAAAGGAAAAAGCTGTTGCTTCACGTGGACTCGATTTGTTATAAATATATAATTTTGGTCCACCCCTTATACTCGCATTGAAGGGAATTAAATACTTCCTTCCAACTGGGGTAGAATTGTCCGGATTAAGTGCAGTGTATTATTTTTTCTGTCACTCCCAAGGTTGGTAACACCGTCTCTGATATGACTTATTGTTTTTCTATATAATCAGTTCTATAGCATGTTTGGGATCATGGGATGGCGTTGACACCACCCCCAAACACGCTGCAAATTTTCCATTTATCATTGTTGCTGTAAAATACCTATTTTTAATATCTTTCGAATTGATTATAGTTTTCTTGAACTTATTACAAGTCTCCTCTCACTCCCCACCTAGACGCTTTATCTTCTCATGTAAATTTCATTTATCTTCGGTAAAAACTCCCATCTCATTCAGGCCTGTTCCATTTGTTCTAAATTCTAATTGTTCTGCCTGTTTTATATCAGGCTATTTTATGATTCTCTAACTAGGTTACTCGTTGTAGGTGGACATCAAAGTATCTCCAGGATCTCATGCTGATGAAGAATCAGGTGCAAGCTGAACTTTTGATCTTTGAAAAGCATTTACCTTAATTTACGAATGACAACAAAGTTATGCAGTCTTATTCACTCTTCACCATTCCTTCTAGTGGTTCCTAAATGAACAAATTGGAACATGGGAAGAGCCAATGCCATTATTGGTCCTTTATTTTCTGATTAAAAAAATGACCTTTGTTAGTTTTGTGCAAAATTGTGGATGATGATCATGAGTTCCCCTGGCAAGTTTCTCCTAGAATTCCTTCTTCTGGCCATCATGTAACAATTTGATAATTCTGCTTATTGTTTTGGCGCAGTCAATAAGCAGTTAAATGACAAGGAGAGAGTGGCTGCTGCGTTGGAGAATCCCAACCTCCGCCAGCTTGTTGACGAGTGTCTCTACTCTAATGAACTATGAAGTTTTCCATAACCTGCGCGATAATTTACAGGGTGTTTGAAGCTGAAGAATGCCATGATAGCCACTTGTCTCTGGGTGTTAGTTGTTTCTGTCCTCCTCTAAGCCAACCGACTATATAACCCTTGAGTTTGACCTTATATTGTATGTTGTAAATTAAATCAGAAATCATGCTCTGTTTACCATATTTCAGTTATCTTATGTAATATTTTCTGTAATGAACTGATTATTGGCCCTAATACCTGATTGGTATGTCTCGTTCCATGCTTTTGATTTATGAGCTTCGTTGATAGAAAGAGATTAAAAATTAATCGTTGGAAGTATTTTAAAATTCGTCGGTGAGAGATCTAACGAGTGAAAGTGGACTCGGAGATTCTTATATTTTCGGTTGAATTCTTGCCTTGTTAATTAGTTGCTGCTGCTTAATTCTCATGCTTGCAGGCAACTCTATCGCCTCTCTGAGAGACCATTAAGTGTCAATGATTTATTTTATTTTTTATTATAATAAATAAAATAAAAATATCAATGTAAATTATAAAATATTAAAAAAAAGCAAGCTACTCAAAAACCAAAAAATAATGACTAATTTTGAACTCCATGCAAATATAGATAATCACTTAAGTATGAATACTCCCTCTGTCTTGTATATAAAATATTTTTAATTAAATTATACAAACTAATAAAAATTGATTATTTACTTAAAATAAAATTAATATTTTAATTTTGTCTTTAATTATTGTAAATAAAAATAAATTTTTTTAAAATAAATTGTACTTATCTTTTTTCTTTTTTAATGCAATAAGAGTATAATAGTTTATAAAATATGCTTACAGTCTCTTATATTTATGAATAAAAAAATTAAAAAAAATTCTTATACATAGGAATACAAGGAGTATATATATTCTCTGTTTGATCGTGGAAATTAAAAAAGAAAAAAGGGAAAGTAAAGGGAAAAAGCTTAAATGTGAACAAAACTAATTAAATCCGCGCACTTGGTGACTGAATCAAACAAACAATTTGTTTGAGTAAAATTAAGAAAATGTAGCAGATGAAGCCGTGTTGAGTTCGATGTTAGACGTTCAATCAATACTTTTTTTTTTATTTCGCTTTTCAATTTTCCTTTTACTATATTGCTTCCAATGTGACCTGATAACGGCTATATAAGTATATATCAAGGCACTCAATCAGAGCAAAAACCAGGAGACTTTTACCATCACAATCTATCATCTATAAAAAAGGTGGGTTTCTTTCCTTTATTTGTTTTTTTTTTCACTACCTCTTCACTGTAAATTTAAACAGTTTAAATTAAATTTATATTTTTAAAAATTATCAAATTCAATTTAACAATTCATATCTCCACTGATCTATCTTTTGCTCTCCTTTGCAGGGAAAAAAAATCCAACTCAACACTAAAATTCCAAATGCTATAAGGTCAAAAAAAAACATTTTTGAATCAAACAAGTAAAATCAAGATAGAAAATCAAATGTTGTATGATTTTTTTTTTATTTTTTCCTGTGGAGAAAGACTATTTTATGAACTGGCTCATAATGGAAGTCCCTCTCACTGTCCACCCGCATGATGGAGCCAGGCGCAAGGGTAAAGTAATGTCTATTGAATATTCTTTTTCTTTTTGGGCCAAGAAAGCCCATTAATGTTAACAGCGAAATTGGGCATTACCTCACGGAACACCATAAAACCATTACCCAGGACGGAGGAGCAGCAGAAACCGAAAAGTTGATTGATGGAAGGACGGAGAAGTTTCAGGTGCTCTAATTCACATAGCTCGGTGCTCCTATCGCAAACCGTGACTCCGGAATGTGCGAGAATTGCTGGCTATGAGAGACTATCTAAATCCATGAGATTAGTGGGGGAGCGCAAGAAGGACAGCAAGCTGGGCTTAGGCCTTCTAAGCAAGGTCTTCACCTTCAGAAAAATCTCCTCCGACCATGAGAGGCTGCCTGAAACGGTGTCGGCGGTGGAGAAGCAGGAAAAGAAACGGTCTTCTTGGCTTCCAGATCCAGATAGGAGGTGGCCGATACAGGGATGGTAATTGATTTTTATGTCCAGAATAGGTTTCTGTGATCAAATCACGAACTCAATTGCAATTATTATTATTATTATTATTATTATTATTATTATTATTATTCGGTACAAGTGTTTTAGCTCTAAAAATGAAGGCACGTTATCTAACTTAGGCAAATTTTGACACAGAAGTGGGAAGTGGGATTTTTTTGAAGAGATCTACAGCAGTCTGCTGCTAAGATTGGGTGTATGTTTAAGAGAGATAAATTTCATGAACTCAAATCTATCACGAAGCACAAGTGGATTTTGATGTGAGCTCCCGCCTTCCTCCGATACCTGGTCTCCAGTGACATTAATTAGCCTTTCGTCGGTAAAAGGCCAGGGGCTAAAAGAAAAAAAAAGGAAAAAAGAAAATAACTTTTTAATTTTTATAAATAGGAGAGCTTGGGTTTGATTACTTAAAAAAATAGAATGGATTGAATTAAAAAAAAATAAAAGTAAAAATAAAATACTTTTTTTATTAATGAATTTTAAATTAAAAAATTATTTTATCATTTAAAATCTTATTGTCATTTTCCCTTTATAAAATGCAGATGGGCGTGACATTCGTGAAAACCTTTGCGCTGCAAGATCACTGTTGAGGAAATATTTTGAAAAACATTTGGAAAATGAATTTATATTTTCATATGGGAAGCACTCAAGAATACATTGCCATATTTACAAAATCGCCGATAGATAGAGCCAAAATTTATTACATATACACAGCAACAACGATGGATCATCTAAAGCTGGTAAATTCTAAATGTGTTCTTTTACATCGATCGATCCGAGTCAAGAGAAAAACATCTTCCTGAAATGATGCTTATCGTATTGACTTCCCATATTGGCTTATTAATTTGTTTTTGCACTTGCAAGATTGATTTCCTTACACAAAATGGACCTTCGAAAATGATGCAACTTGTCGGATTCTCATATATTCAGTGAATTTGATCGTCACATCACTAATGATTCTGTGAATCGATGTCTAATAATTTCGCTGACCCTATTATAAGGGATACAAGAGGAAATCATTTGGCCAAGAAAAATAGGTTCTTGTCAAGTTATGTCCTTGGAATGCTTATTTAGGTTTCAAAATATTAAATTAATGATAGGTCTGATAAAAAAAGTTAGCAAAAATGTTAGCTCTTCAAAATGTGATAAATTACTATTTAAATTTTTATTAAAAAAATGTCTATATTTAATGTTTGATTATATTTTAAATAGAGTTATTTTTTAATAAGGAGATATTTATAAGTAATAAAAAAGATGATAGGCCTTTAATATTTTTTTAAAATCTTATAATAAATATCAACTCAAATAATTATAAATTTAAAATTTTTAATTATAGATAAGAGATTTAAGTTTCAAATGTGATTCTAAAATTACACTTAAAATTTGGGTAAATTGTTGAAAATGACTTGCTCAAAATTTAATCGCCCATAGGTCCCTAGGGCATATTTCAAAAGAAGCTCCTTCACTGTTAATGATTGTCAGAGGGTGAATGATTTAAATGCCCTAATGATGAATAAAAAAAAAAAACAAAGGTTGAGCAAGACACTTCACTATTAATATGTCACACAGGATCATTTGTTATTGATAATTTTAATGTCAATATGTTATACAAGATTTTTCGGTGTCAATATGGAAAGAAAGTTCTTTTATAGCAATTTGTGAAGCATTGGAGCATAGGGTTTGTTAGTGTCAATATGCTGTATACAATGTCTCTTTCACAATATGCAAATTATCTCCAATGAAATATATGTAATGTTTCTTCCACGATATACAATTAATCTTTAACAAAATACAATGTTATTCTATATATTTAAATATCCTTTATTAATATTCTTTATGACTATTTATAGAAGCATATGCAACGTTTTTTTTACAATATGTTCAAATATTCCTTACGCAATGTTTCTTTTACTACCTATGGAAACATATACAATGTTTCTTCTATGATATATGATTAATTTTTAATAGAATATAATTTTCTTGTATATATTTAAATATTTCTTATGTATATTCAAACATCCTTTATTAATATAGAATTTGAAAATTGAAAATTTCACTAACATTTTTTTTAGGATATATGACATGGCTCTTCGAATATATGAGAATCAACACTAATAATAATTTAAGATACTTTCAAAAAGCAAATGAAAATTCTAAAAAATTATTCACCTTTCATGAAAACATAAACAGATATTCAGAAAAAAAAAATCATTTTTAATGAAAACATAAATAAATAAATATTATAAAAATTTTCTCAATTTTACAAAAACACTCATGGATATTATGAAAAAACTAATACAAAAAGGAATCAATCTCTAACTATTATTTTCATGAAAAATTTATATCGTATCCTTAAAATTTATGTGGTATGACAAATATACTCATACAAATTTGAAACCATTTAGTGGAATGGCAACTAAGCATTAACAATCTTTTTTGTTTTTGCATTGAACATTGAGTCTAAAAGAAGCACAATACAAAAACACCAATTGAAAACTTCATTTCATTAAAATATAAAATCACAACGTCACTGTGAACTATTTTTGCAAGCCACAATTACAATTCAAACCTATAATCTCTAAACACAATCTCACTACAATTGCATTGTACAAGTAGTCCTTCTTCTACAATTAAATAAGTCAATTGACATTTCAATTGACAAATAACGCAACTTAAAACAATCATTCCTGTCAACATTGTTAGAACAGAAATTGCCAATATCTTGCTCCTTTGCTTTGTCTTGCCCCAATTTTGTTTTTACTTGAACCAATTTTATGCTCTCAGAGACATTTCAGTGCCATAATAATGGTTGTGCAAAACACTGGGCTTGCAACAAGTAGTTCTGAAAATGCCTGAATGATTCTACTATCTATTTTGACTGTTGTACTGTCCATGTCTTCAAATATATCACCTTCCATTCCAATTAAAACTTTTCATCCAATCACCAATTAGTTTTGCAAAGAAAAGCGAACAGAAGGAAGATATTTCTTGCTATAACTGCAGAGAGAAAGCTACTTAGAATTGGGCTAAATTGAAACAGAACTATTATTTTGGAAACATTACCAACATACTCTATGTTAGAAAAGTTTTTAAAAAAATTACATTTACGTCTCACATAAAAAAACTTATTATCAAAAAGACTTGTGAAATTTATAAAACATTCTCAAGTCCTAATCCTACGCATTTACAACTTAATTAAGGATATTAACAATTGAACAACAGTCATTACAAATCATAAATGACCATTGCTTAATTGTCAATATCTTTAATCAAATTATGAATAAGATTTAAAATTTAAGAATATTTTGTGAATTTTAATAGACTTGTTGATAATAAATTTTTTTAAAACCTTAGTGTAATTTTGCCCAAACTTCTCTAGTGGACATGTCACACGTGCTACTAATTATGTGAGATCTACCTACGACCTGCATCTGCCTATTATAGATTTGATTACTTACTTTTTGTATATTTATCTTATTTAACTCGATCTTGTATCACTTCTATCAAACAAAGGGCAAGTAGGGTTTGCATAAAGATTTACCGAATCCAATCATATGCCATCATATTGGGGGGGAGGGGGGGGGGAGAATCACGCTCTTTTTAGTGTCAATGTAATTGTGAAAAGCTCAGAGAAAATGCTCTGCTTCAACAAGCTAAGCCAACCCACAAAATAAAGGTGAAACAACTTGCATTTATCTCTTAGAAAATAGTGTGGCTAAATTCTGAAATAAGTATCTGCGTTTATTTGTGAAAGTTAAGGGGTTAGGATGGTGCAAATGATGAAATTATAATGTGCATTCAGAGAAACAATCAACCCAGAAAACTAATAACCAATAGGCAGAAACACTCATTTGAAGCTACAAGACCATTCCATCTTGATCAACTCTGCTTGCCTTTCTTAAGGTCTAAAATTAGGTTTTTCAAAATGAGTAATTATTTTATGAATCTAAAACTTTCTAAATTCCTTGCTTCAGCCAACACTTCAACTTCTAAACAGTTTTTTCAACACATCTCTACCGCATTTCTCTACGTTACACAATCAATCAAAAAGCCTAGAATTTCAAACTCAAGATCAATCTCCTAAATCTCATATGAAGTCATTTTCTTGTCATGTTTATCTCCTTCAACCTCCTAATAACCATATTTAATCACGAACCACCCAATTTCAAGAAAATCCCCAATCTAGTTAAACTGAATGTTTAGGAAAGTGAAAAGGGAAAAGTTATTGAAAAACTCAAGAAAATGGAAATAGACCTAACTCTTTACCTCTCTAGAATCAACTTTATCGCACAAGCATGATTCATTTTCACGGTTTTCATTTCTTCAAAATTAAAAAAATAAGTGATTTTTAAGTAGTTTAAAAATTTTATAAAAAAATATTTATTTTATAAAAATCTTATAAAAAGCATATATTATTTTATATTTAATTACACTAATAGAAAAGAAAGTAATAATTAGTTATTTTTAAGTCTTATCATATCTTCATTGATTTTTATTTTATAAAAATAATTTAGTATTATACTATTTTAAAATTTTATAATATCCTCACATCCCACTTTTTTAAACACTTTCTCTCGTCTATTGCATTAAATTATTTTTAAAAATTTCTCATAGCAGTTTTTAAAAATAAGTAAAAATGTATTTTTTTTTTTAAATTTTAATCATTTTCAAAAGTTTAAACAAATATTATACCTCACAAAATAAATTTTTTAAAAAAATTACTAAAACAAATAGGCCTTTAGCCAACAACTGATTGAAGCAAAGAATTAAACTTCCTCTCGAACTCAGGGGTACACTAACGGGCCAAGTCAATGAGAGAATGAAAATGAATGTTGAGATTGAAGGTGGTGTGCAAGGTGGGGTCGTTGAAGGCTTCACCCTACTCACTCTTCCTCTCAAACAAGAAGGGGAGTAGAATAGAAGCTTACCTTACTTCACTCACTCTACCACCATCTTCAGAATGAAGACCAAACCTTGTTCATTGATGTCATCATCAAAATCACCGAGTGCTAGATGTCAATGTCGCTAGAAATTACAATAGAAGATGGAGAGGAGAGAGAGGGAAAGGACTTGGTTAGGGCATTTCTTTTTCATTTAAAATTATTGACACCAAGGGCCTTAAAACTGGAGGGACTTTTGGGCAATAAATTTGCCAGACAAGTAGTCATGAACAACTTTCCATTTAATTTTTGTATTAATGAAACCATTTTTTTTTAATTTTTACTAAAACCCTATGTACTGACTACCCAAAAAAATGACATTACCAGACAGTCAAAATAATAGTGGAAAGCAGCTAACAAGTGATACAAAGATCCGGGTGGATTTGAACCACCATCCTCTCAAAGCTCTGTTAGAATCAACAGATGCATTAAGCGCTCTTCCATTTTCAGCTAACGGATCTATCAGCAGCTTCTGTAACCTGACACCTAAGCATAGGACCACACTAACTTTCGTACTTTTCAAGCCCTTACAACACAACCCACAAAACAATTTAGATAGAATTGAATCCTCCATATTCTACCCCAATACTCCCTTTCTCAATACATCATTTCATAAAAGATGTAAACTTGCTAATTATGATATTAATCATCATTTTCATTTAATTTTTTTTTGAAAATAACTTCATAATAGCTCTTTAATAAATTAGATAAATATATTTATTTTCTTATCATAATTAATAATCTTATCACATTAAATCATTAAATGAATATTTAAATAAAGAAACAAGTGTAACTGAGCATGAAGAGAAGCATCCAGACAGAATATGAAAAAGATGCAAATCCAACTAGACAGGCACATTATCTCTTAAAACTATAAAAAATACAAAAACGGTAATACTTTCATTTCAATGAGTCAGAAATTTCACATCCACAATGAAACCAACCAATTGAGATAAACAGCATATTAATATTTAACTTGCTTTGCTCTAAACTTCTAGAATTAGAGAGAACGTATATGGGCGTATTAAATTAAATTTAGATTATAGTTTTAACAAAACTACACTGGCATATAATTACAGCACAATATTAGAGGTCACGGGTGGGTTTCCAAGCAAACCATGCTTTGCGATTGTCTTTCAAGGGCAAAACAGAATTCTTCGCTTAACAAGCAAAATACATTGCAAAGAACAGAGACACGAGATGGGGCGGGACTCACTTGGGAGATATACTCCAACCATCATGTGCAGAACTCTCCGCATATCGCTCTGCCTTTGGAAGCGCAAACCACCACAGCAACCCCCGCTCAAAACCCGGGAAAAAAAAAATTAAATTGAATGCCTCGCATTAGGCAACATGAAGTTTTAACTTTATATCACTGAGAAGCTGAGACCCAAAGAGAAAAAATAAACTGAAATAATTTAACCCTTTCCAGCTTTCCCCCACCCTTCACTGCCACCCATCAGAATTACAACCAACTAGTCTATAAACAAAATTATATACATCATGAACCAAAAAGACAATTAAAAAAATCTACACTATTATCGATTATCAATCAATTAAATATAATTAAAGTTATAACTTACCAATCCCGGGGCTCAGATTTTATACATTGAAAATCAAATGAAGAAAAAACTGGTTTAAAAAGAAATTCCAAATAAATTCCAAATGCAAGACAATCTAACCTACTATGCGCCAAGATATCTTTCAAGCATAAATAGCATGAATTAGAGCTTGAAATCCAGATTGAGACAACTCCAGCTCGTTGATATCACTAAATTGTGAAGATCCTGGTTAAACTGTTCTTCAAACCAAGCACAAGAAATCCTAACCACGCTACCACAAACCAGTCTAACTGTGAGAGAACACAATGTTTGGATAACGTCAATTATGTAAAAAATGACTCACATCACCACAATCTACAATCAACTAGTATACAGTAAAAAGCAAAAGGTAGGCATGTAAGAACAATAACTTCAAGGAATGAGAAAAATACCAGCTTATAAAAATAAGAAAACGAAATCATGTGAGACGATCTCTCTATAAAATGTAAGAACTGAAGAGGCATGTTCGGAACAAGGAAACTTGGATATTCTATTAAGCGTACTTCTGCTTGCCGCATAGTCACCCCCGGGCCACATGCTGAACGTTCACATAAGATCCATGCATGAGACTTTCCGCACTTTCGATGAATCGGCACTAAACACTAACGAGCTCGATCGCTGGGGCACAAAACGCAAAGCTTCATATAGATACATACAAACTACAATCTGGTCAAGTCCAAATATATATAAGCAAACTATTTATAATGGTATTCAAGAGATGTGAAATTACAAGTACAAATGCTACGGCAGATTTTTAAGGACATGGTCAACGATAATTAATGTTATTCTCGAGCTCAAAGACAAAACTAGAGCAAGGAAGCAACTTGGCCGTTGATCGAAAAGCAAACACTGAGGAATTTCATGTTTAACGAGCGCATAATTGGACATTGTTCAGACAGGCATGATGTAAACTACTTGACATCAAAGTACCTTCAAAAAGAAGAGCGTTCAATGAATTCTAAAGAAAAGGTAGTGAACGAAATTCAATACTTAACGCTGACCGGGTTTGGTAGCAGAGCACAGATTCTAAAATACGATTATGTGAAAAATTGCTTGTTTTAAGACGAAGTATATTGCAGTGAAGATAATTATCGTTGTTAAAAAGGCATATAAATGGTAAACCTGCCGAAAACAATTAGAAATAAATATCCAATAAGGTGTAAGGAAGATTAACCTAAATACCTCTGTTAAATCGGCCAACGTATCCTTCGCACCAGTGGCGGTATGCAGGCGATCGGGAAAGGAAATAAGGAACGCAGAACATAAAGGAGCACACACCACACAAGAAGAGGAGACCCCGAGCAAATTCCCGTGCGGTCTCCTCTGGAACCAAAAAAGACTCATTTTATTAAGATACTCTTGACCTGCCATGCAAGCGCACCTGTCATGGCAAAGGTCGGATGACAAAGATCTTTCAGAACAATATGACAGACCACTATAGCGCGCTCCTCCCAAAATCTCGTAAATCCTACGCACAAACAGATCACTCCCAGATTCAGACCGATTATTCAAATTACATTACATTATCTATAAAGGGATGAACGAATCACACAGATCCTCGAACACAATCATGAAGCGTGCACCAATTGAACCCCTATAGGGCAAGAACACCTAATCGCCCGCTGCAGGATCCACGTCGAGATCATCGATTCTTCCCCATACCTGTGGATACAAATAATCCAATACCTCAAGGCCTTGCAGAGACAAGATTCAACAGTAGCCTACAAACCAACAGAGACATGAAGCAAACCGCCTGGAAAATAGATCTGATGCAAGAAACTCCAAAACAGCGGTAAAGGTAAGAAAATTTTAAAAGAAGACATCAGAAAAATGTAAAATCAGACCTCCAAAGGTAAAAATAAATATGGCTTGCACCGTTCGGAAACTACCATCGGCCGGTAGATCTCGATCTGATCCATGCAGATCCGGCGAGTAGAATAGATAGCAACCAGAAACACGAACAAGATCTGGGAATCCCAGAAGAAGCCATGGAAAACGTAAACGCTTATGGGGAAGGCCGGAGCGAACCAATTTTTCTTATACAGGGGTTGAAACGCAATGGACGGCTAAGATCACTTAATTTGTTGGTTAAGATATGACCACGCGTCACATTTTGTTCTCCTTTTGTCGCTAGGGCGGTGTTTGACTGTTTGTTTTTGTTACTAGCTCGCTATCTACATATCCATCGTTTTTCCTTTAATTTTAATTTTTAAAATTACTTTAAACATTCAACGTACTAATATATCTATCAAGCGTTAACATTTTCATTCTTATACTTTCTTGAAACTGTAGGAACCTTATAATAATAAATAAAATATTTTTAAATTATTTTTTAATGAGGAAAAAAATCTTCTCCATTGACAGGTCATTAACGAAAAAAAAATTTACTCCTCTAAAAAATATTTTTTTAAAAAATATGTTTTAATAAATAAAAAAATATTTTATTTATTAATATAAGGTGCCCAACATTCTTCAAAATAAACTATAAGGACAAAAATGCATTTTAATTTAAAAATAAGTATTAATAATTATTTTAGTTTAAATAATAACTATTTTTTTAGAAACAAACAATCACAATTTTTTCTCTATAAAAGGCCTATTGCTTAAAATAAAGTAGTCATGAATATTTATTTTTTATTTTACATTAATGGTATTTTAGTTGTGTCATAAAAAATCATTAATGTTTGAAAGGTTTTTATAGACTTGAGAAAAATCATAATATTTTGTGAGAACTTATTATCATTTGCATATATCAAAAGGTTAAAGTACATTGTCGAACTTTACTTCAAAAAATGCTAAACACCTTATATTAATAAATAAAGTATTTTTCTTTCTAAATAATTTTTCAAATAAACAAAAATCTTCCTCCACTAAAACATTGTTAATGAAGGGAAATTTTTGCTTATTTATTATTGATTTGTTAAATTATATCCAGTTAGATAAATCTTAATATTGAATGTTGGAATAAAATTTATCTTAAATTATATCATCAATCAGTTTTTCTTTTTTATGTCAAAATCACTTAAGGTTAATTTAAAAATAGAGCTATAATACGAATTGGGCTTATCATACTACCCTTTTAAATATTTTCTCAGGCCCCAACCTTTGAAATTTGGGACTTTTTTATTTAAAGAAGTTTTTAAGCTCAACCAATTTAAATCCTAAAAAATAGACCCAGGCTATTTGTTTAGACTCCATATTTAGTTTTATCCTAAAAAGATTATATATTTCAATTTTTAAATTAAATTTAGATTTTAAAATATGTGTTTATATTTTAAACTTAGAATTTATATTTTTTTATTTTTGAACATTATAATTGCATCTTAAAAAAAGGGTATGTAATATTATAGTGTAGAAATTAAATTTTAATAAATAAAAAATTCTTACCTTGATCAATAAAAGCTGAACCTAAAAATAATATTGATTTTTATGGTAATCGGCCCTACTCAGATGGTGAAAGATCAAAAGTTGTTTAAGTGTCTATAAAAGTAACTTGGTTGAGACGTATGGACTAAAATCATCATTATGTTACAAAGAAGTCTATATTAAAATATTCTCACTATGAATTACAGTATGTGTGGTTTTTAGTTTGTTTAAAATGAATTTGTTAAAATATATTTAACAAAAGTTAATTCTCAATTATTCTAATAAAATTTATATTTAAATATATTTTTAAAAAAATTAATTTTATAATTAAAATTTATTTAGATGATATATAGTAAAATATATTTTTAAATATACAATTATTAAAAAATATTAATTTATGATAATTTATAATTTTTATTATACAAGTGTAATATTTAGAAAATGTGGTAAAAATTTTAATAACATAAAATTTGATATCTTAAATAATAAGAATAAAAAATATAAAGTTTAATATGTTAAAAAAAATACCTAAGGAACCGTAAATTCATATTTATGTTTTAAATGAATGTATTTAAAAACTAAATGGTTTCATCTAGAAAAGTATAAGCAAAATAATATTATACAAATAAGAAAGAAGAATGGAAGTGAACAAAAAATCACAGTTACAAGAATGTAAAGAAGGGGTGATAAGGGGAGATTAAAAAGTTGGTTCATGTAAGAGAAGGGGTGGTAAGCTACTCTTTGTGCTGATTTTCTTACAAAGCAAGCCTGCCATCATTCTTACGATCTAATACAACTGCTTAGAGCCCCTAGAAAATGTGAAGTTTATCTCTTAGCTGATAAGAGTGAAATTATACATACAGCTTCTAACCTTATCTAGTTTTTATCACTAGCCTTTCCAAAAAAAAAGTTGGTTCATGTTTTAACTCTCTCATTTATTATCCAATACCCAAATTTAAAATGTGAGTTTCAAAAGTTACTTATAAATATTAAACAGCTAAATTTTAAATTCACTTCCAAAATATTCATTTATCTCTCAACTTTTCTCCAAATAGCTTTCACATTTATAAAGTCCTAAATATTAAACAGAGGTCACCCAAATAGTCCCAGAAGCTCGAATGGTGAATAAAATACCAATTACCTACCAACATTTATCAACCCTGTCATCACCACAAGCATCCAACCAAACACTTGTCTGCTAAGTTCACAGCTTAAAATGTTTCCTAACCAACCTTGTAGTTTTTTTTTTAATAGTAAGGACTCAGGGCAATGCTTGCAAAGTTCACAAAATTACATCATATAGTTTGACCTATATAAATCCAAACAACCAAACACAATCGTACCAAATAATAAAGTCATCCTCCCTCTTACGGGCATCCTTTGTAATCCAAACTATAACTCCATTAACTTCACGCTATAAGTATTCGATCTCAACATCCTAGTCTGAGATAAGAAGCTCTTGTATGTCCATAATATCATATTTCAATGGGTGATCAAGACCACCCACTATCCTAATTAACTCAATACAATCAAGTGAATCCAAATGACATTTAAGTTTGGTAACATCAAGCTATTTGCACAATTTTAGTCCCTCTTTCAATATTGTGATTGTTGAATTGCCATCATCATGACAATAAGCATTGTAATGTGATTGCACAATATATAATGACTAAGCAAGTGTGTGATATGAGAAAAATATGTTTATGTGGTTATGTACATGTATTCCTTAGTTACACGTGTGTGTGTGTGTGTGTGTTTTATTAAATAATTGTATTCACCCCTCTCTCTTAACATTTTATAGATTCTAGCTCAAGTACGAATAAGGAAAAAGCTTTGAAGGCTTAGGAATTCAGTGTTTCTACCGTAAAGCCTCCTATCTAATTTATTTTTTGTGTAATTATAATGATATTGCCAACTAGTGATTGCATTTTTTTACTTCACTTGCAATATACTATATGCATGATTTTACTATTGTATTTTAGGCCCTAAGATTATTGTATGAAAATTTGATTATTTTTAATAGGGCCAAAATACTAGTACAAGTATAAAAAAACTATAATATTAATAATTGAAGTTAAGTGATTAAATGCAATGCTAAACTCCTCCTTTTATTTTTGGTATTAAAGGGTTAAGGATTAAAAATAAAATTGTGTTGTTATTAGCTGCACATTTGTTCTAAGTCTGTTGAATATGGTTTGTAGCTTTTGGCACAATTGTTGGGTTTTAGACATCCTTATAATGTGAATAGTGTGAAAAGTGTGGAAAATACATTTGGGTGTTCAACTCCTTGCGTGAAATTATTTGGGAGTAAAACTCATACAATTAGCTAGTTCATGTAAAATACTTTATGTGGGCACTTATATCAACTCGATCAGACATTGAATGGAAAAAAGACCATGTTAGAAGTTGTCCCTGGGTGCCGTCAAATTCTATGCAGCGTGCCATGGCACCCAACACAAAGAGAAATAAGCAATAGCACGTCCCTCTATTTTCATTCATATTTGATTTTTTTAACTATTTTTGAGTCTTTTGTACTACCAAATGGTATCTCATATCTTTCACACTTATTTATACTTCATTATGGACTTAATAAAATAAGGTCATATTTGATTCATTTTATGAAGTTAAAACTTGGGATTCTAATTGTTGAAAGAAATAATTTTCAATTTTGAAATATTTTAAATGGCTAAACATGATTAGGTAATCCTTTTTAGTTAATTCCAATGATTACCAATGGTATTATGGTCAAGTGATGGATTAGTAAGAAAAACCTTACACATTATAGCTGAGGAGGAAGTCCCTCCATGACATACTTTCTTCTTCCTAAATCCCTAATAGTTCATAGCCTTGACCAATAGTTGCTGGTGTCTTGCTCTTCCCCTTGCTCTCCCCTGTCATAGGATCTTCCATTGGGGAGTCAATGATGGCAACGTCAATGTTGCTTTTCAATTTCTTCTTCTTGGAATTCGGTGGAGAATCATCCTTTGACTAGTTTAGAAGAATTTTTTGGTGATTCTAGTCATCCATAGTTGATGAACACTACAAGCGCAAAAGAGAGCAAAGTCAAACCCTTTCTAGCCTTGCAAATTTTACCTGCACGTTTTGTTGCCTTTATAGAGCTCTCTACTAATTTTTTTGAGGGAAAAATTCAATAAGCCCCTTGACACAATTGAATTGCAATCGAACCCTCTAAATTTTGAAATTTCATTGTACATGTAAGGGATTAAAATGAGATTAAAAAGGCTAGCTAAAATGATCTTATTGTCAAGTGAAGCTAAACGCATGAACAATTTGTATACAGAAAATGAACAACCAATGTATGGAAAATAACTAACTAATTTTATTAACAGTATGACATCACTTTGGATTTGCAACTCTCATTCCACCTACGTTAGTTATTCATTTTCTATACACCAATTGTTCATACGTAGCTTTACTTGTTTATCTTCATAGTGTTGCTATGTTATTAAAAGGGTTACAAATTATGCCTATGTTAGTTGTTCATTTTCTATGTATCTATTATTTATTTTTCATATATTAGTTGTTTACTTTACTAGGGACAATAAAGTCATTTAAGTTAGTTCTCTAATTTCATCTTAGTCCCTCATATGTATAATAAAATTCTAAAATTTTAAGGAGTTTGATTG